AAAAAAAAAAAAAAAAAAAAACTATCTATTTTCAAAATTATCCTCTTGATTTTTGAAACAATACAACTGTAATTTGACTTAATTATTGTAAAATTTTGTAACTTATGGAAAAAAATTAAAGAGATGAATTTCGATTGATTTGAAATTCTTAAACCAGTTTGAATTTCGTGCAAATTGAAACCTAAAAAAATGAAATTCATTATAATTTTGTAATTTTCAAGAGGTTTGTTAATTTTAAAGTGGCGCAAAATTCTTCATTTAAGGTTAGCCGTCCGAGGATAGAAGCATGTGATTAGATATTTTTTAATTCAATTTGAACAAAATCCTTTATATTAGAAAGAGATTTAGAATTAAGCCAAATTTTAAGGCAACTAAAATGAGAAGGGATTTTGGATTTCAAATTTTTAGTTCAAGTTTTAAGGTGATTTTTTCGGCAATATGATTGTTTGGAATAAAAAACACAATTAGATTTTTTAAATCAAATATGAGAAAGGATTTTGAATTTCAAATTATATTTAATGATCGAAATTTTTAGAACTTAATGGAACCAAATCCAAAAATTTATCTTTTAGGAGTTAAAATGAACTGTAATTTATTACATGTACCAAATCCACCAAATAAATGAATTGTAATTTTTTTTTTAAAAAATAAAAAATAAAAGCATCCGATTAGAACAACTGTAGAGAGTTGATGTTAAAAGAGTTTTTGATTTTTTGTAATACTAACTTAAGTTTATATTATTAAATTAGGCGTAATTTATTTTTTTAATAGAATAAAATTTGCAATGTGGTACACGATTATATATTAAAGAAAGTTTTTTTTTTTTTAATTTGTGAAAAAAAAGAACAGCCTAATTTTGCGCAAAAATAAATAACAAACTCCACATTTAAATACAATAATTAATGATGCACATTTCCAAATAAAAAATAAAATAAAAACTTGCTATTAATAGCATGCAATTAATGCTCAACTGTATTTGACCACAATTTGACTTGCCATTTTAAAAAAATGGTAATTCTTTTTTTATATATATAGATAGATACAGAATAATGATAATTATTTAGAAAAAGAAAAAGAAGAAATTATTCCTAACCATAATTGCATTAAAAATTAAATACATTTTTGTAATTCATCTCCATTCACTATATATATATATATATATATATATATTTAAAAAGAATTTTTTTCGATATATTTAAACTTTTACAACTTTGAATACTACTCATATATTTATCAACTTTACATATTCGTATTATATTCAAACATATCAAAGTATATGTAAATCATTTAGTAAATGTTGAATACTACAGTATATAATGATTTATATTTTATTCTTTTAATTTTCAGCATGAGTTGGTTAGTTTTAATGTTTCTTTATTACCATATAATTCACATTTATAACCAATCATTTAATAGTATGTCCTATTATTTTTATAGATAATTTATATGCAAGTATCCAAATTGTTCGATAATTTGATAATTTTCAATGTTAATAATTTTTTAATTCTAAAATTCGATTTATTCATCACTTTTAGTTTTTAAATTTTTTTATACATCGAGAAGACTATTAATATAAATATTCAAGAGACAGCTTAAAAAGAAAAAAAATAAAATAAAATGAAACTGTATTAGGTTGTAATCTATTACTATTCATTTATCAAAGTCATGTTATGATGACCAAAGAAATATAAAATCGGGGGAACTTTTTGAAAATCCTGTCTATGACAGCAAGGGGCGAAAAGAAGAATAATAAAATTTGCGCGTAATTAATTGTTAGATTTAATCATAATGGCGCATGACGTCACCTGATACGCATGGCGGGTGTTAAGATATTTTTTTTTGTTATTTTTTTTTTTTTGGTTAATAAAAAAGGCTTGTAGAACAATAAAATCTGGCTTGCAAGATTAAATAAAAATTCATTTTTTTTTTTTTTTGTTAATAAAAAAGGAATCTTGACTTTGAGACCTGTCAATTAAATATAAAAATTCAATATTTAAAGAACAATAAAATAAAGAAAATAAAATTTCAGAATAAAATCTGGCATGCAAGATTTTAATTCCACTAAATAGCTTCGAAATCTCAAGGTGTGTTTGTATATAAAAAAACTCAACTTTAACGCAATTTTATAATCCTCAATATTGTCAATATAATTAAATAATACAACCCAATTATTCTTACGCATCACATCAATTTTAATTTACTATTCATCAACTCACATTATTTTAATTAAATATCACTTCGCATTATCTCTTATAACTTACTTTTACATCAAATTATTATTGATTAATTTATTTTAAATAATATTTTAATTTAAAATAGAAATCGCACTAACAACTATACCACTATCTTTTAAAAATTAACTTTGATTAACAAAAAAAAAAAAGAAAAACTCATATTTAAATATTTAATGCTACAGCTATGGAATTACTATGGGCTCAAATATATGTTGAAAAGGCCCGAGATTAGGCATTGAAAAGGCTAAAGATTGGCATTTGTTCATGATGCATTGGATAGTGTACGATGGAAAGATGTTTAAAGAGAATAGAGAAAACAGTTCATTTTCTTTTCAATCTGATAATAATAATCCGTACAAAGAAACACATATATTTTAAATAATACTTACATCAAAGTCCTAACAAACAAAACTTAAAAACCCAATACAACATAAATAAACATAAACGAACTAATAATAAAATATAATAACAATCACACTAAAGGCCGGAATCGATCATGTGTGTTGATTAATACCAACACACTCTCGTCGACATTAGTTCTTCACCACTGTACGTTATTATAATTTTCAAAAAAGATTTTTTCATTTTAAAATAAAAAATTGTATGGTTTTTATTTTTATTTTATTTTTTATGCACAATGTCTTTTAATTGAAAATGTGTTGCATTAGTATTAGTAGATTGTATAAAAGTGCTTGGAATATAATAAGATAGGCAGGGGCATAGCTAGAACTGAGTTGTTAGAAAGTACAACTCAGTTCGACTCGTAAAAAGTCAATCTCGAATCATTCACATAATAAAACATAAAATTTAAATTTAGTTTAAACATGCGGAGCTTAATTGATATTTGATATCACTCGATTTATTAAATGATTCAAGCCAGACATACTCATTTATTAAACGAACAAAAGTTCGAACACAATGTATTGGACTAAATTTGGCTTCAATATTCACTATTATTATACGTAAAAAATCAAACTATATATATTTTCTTAAGTGTTTATTGCAAATTACAAAATGAATAAAAAATAAATTATTCAAAAATGGGCCACGTTATTAAAAATACTTTATGTTATTTTTTTAAGCGTATTTTTACGTAGATCGATCGCATTTAAGATAAACTTGTAGATTTTTTTTTTTTTTGTTGATATAGTAATTTTCTATTCAAAAAATAGCAGGGTCGCGTAATTTCTTATTGTATACTTAAATTTGACTTAAAAAGATAATATAACTTATTTCAAATATTATTTTGAAATGAACATTTTATTAGGCAGGAAAACCTAACATACTTGTTATGTATATGATATTTCATTTAAATTGTGATAGTCCAAATATCATTTTATTAATAGACAGGTTAAACCAACATACTTGCTTTATAATATTCCACTCAGAGTGTGAAATTCCAAACGTTATTTAATTGAGTATGTTATGCAAATAAATGAAATTAAATTATATATTTCACATGTTCAAATATTATTTATCTAAAAGTCAACAAGTAATTAATATATTTCACATATAGAGTAATATAAATAATATAAATTAATAATTTCTTAAATCATGCATTAAAAAATAAAAATAAAGAAGAAAAAATGACAGAGTAAGCTATAACCACAAAATACATATGAAAAGTTTAATTAATGTCAAAAAATATATGTAATTTGTTGGTTTAATATAAAATAAAATTTAAATTAATATGGACTAAATAAATTATCATCAATTAAATTAATAAAACATGAGCAAAATTATTTTTTACATTACACATGTAGATAAAACAAAAAATTGAGACCGGGACGCTATGGGATTGCGGAATTTTATAATAACTAGTACGTAGCACGTGCGATGCACGTGGTGATAATAAATGCATGTATCAAAGAAATAAAATATTGATTGGTATAAAAATAATTTTGAATATTAATATTAAAATTTTCTTTTATTTTATGATATATAATAATTTTATATATGATTTATATGTTTATTTCACTCGTAATAAAATAATTGTCATTTTAGAGTTTATGTTTATAATTAAAGATAATAGAACTTTAACATATTCAAACATTATCAATATATATTACTAATAAAATCTCTCTCTCTCTCTC